CTTTGGCCACTTCTTCAGTCATTAATCTGGGATCCATTTCGATGCTCTTCTTGACAGCCCTTTTTTGTCCTATCCGATGGACCCGGACGCTGCTCAGTTGTTTCCTTGCAGTGTTTCCTGAACTGCACGATAATTCTGTTGACTGTCGAAAGAGGGATTCCCAAATTCTGCGAAATTTGCCGCTGACTTATTCCACCATCTGCTTGACCAACTATCCTTCCTCTAACAAAATCTGACAATTCGAGAGAGCCTTGAGTTCTAGGCATGTTGTAGCACAAGATAATTAGTGTGCAGACCATTTTAATTTATATAGTGCTCTGTGAACACAAATTAGTTAGCATAAATCAGTTAAATGACGAAAAATTAGGTGTCTATTTACTTGTGACCACTCAGTGTACACTGCTTTACAATGGCTATAAGATAAATAATCATTAAATTTCTAATTACGTCATATTAAAAGGTTTTATGGCAATTTTAGGTAATAATAATAACATGAAAGGTCTGGCTAACAATATCAGTGTCTAGCTTCGTGAAAAAAAATAGTGTTAACCATTATGTAGTGGTAGCATTAATCATTCACAAAGCATTTCATTTTACAGCTTCATAACACATCTAGTTATGTTAACATATATATATATATATAGAACAAACAAATATGTGTGTCTGTCTGTTATCTAACTACTCGTAGGTAGCTGGGCCAATCTCAAACAAACTTTGTGGGATGATAGTCTGGAACAAGGAGCATGTTTATGGTGTTCCATAACCCCTCTCCACCCTATTATTACTGTTATTGAACATTCATTATATTTGAAGTAAGTTAACGCTAAGTACATTCACAGATGGCGCCACATCCTAATGATCATGCTCATATAAATAGAAAGACGATACAAGAAAAAACGAAACCTGTGGCTTACTAAAGACATTGAGGGAAAAATGAGAGAAATTAGGAAATTACAAAATGCTTATGAGAGGCATATGGCTGATTACGTTAAACTAGCATTAATAATTGTTTTAAGTATGATAAAGGTAAGCAAAATGTTAAAATGTGGATTAGACCCTAAAAAGAGGCTGATTGCAAGAGTTGGTTTGAAGACTATGAGATCGCTGAGCTTTTAAAGAACGACTGTGAAGAAAAATGAATATATAGGTAACAAAGGAGTGTGAATAAAGTGAACGAGCTACAGAGGGCTACATTGAACAAAAATGTTGTGCACACAAATTGTCAGTGTGAGAAAATATAGATAAAATGTAAGACTAGGAAAGTGAAACATAGAGTTAAAGGAAAGATAACTCTTCATTCATTCCAAAGGAATTTACAGTGCCTAATCTAAAAATCAAACGTTTTTCCAGACGTTATCTTTGTGTTACAGTGGATGGTGCAAATGTGAGTACAAATATGAATTAGTCGGACATGCAGTGTCAAGGGCTATTAAAGTGTCTACCTGTGGGTTTTGTAGCGTCATTATTTCTTATATAAGAGAAATATTCACGTGAAAGATCACCTAAGCGGAGACCCCTTTGACTAACGTATAGGATGTTGCACTTTTTACAGCATACATAGTATATCAAACTTGTTGAAGTGCAAGTGACTGACTGTTGTATTTGACATTTTCCACTGGTGCCAGATATGGATGTTGTGGTGTTAACATACTGGCAGGTGAAGCATTTCTTTTTGTGACAACAAGCTGTACCTGGGTTCACACTAGGGGTAGATTTTTGGATGACACCGTGGACTAAATTTTTTTTTATATTTATATTGTGCCTATAACTGACAAATGGACGTTCTTTAAAAATTTGTGAAGTTATGGGGTCCTCAGTGTGGATATTGAAGTTTTGTTTGATGAGCTGGACAACATTAGAGGTATTAGGATGGTAAGTAAAGAGAAGTGGTATTCGAGAGTTTTAGACTTAGTTTTAGGCTTTAGGGTGTATTGTCGTGTTACAGAATAGGCTCTTTTCTATTAAAGAGTTGGGTAGGAGCGACTGATAAAGAAATCTTTCATATTTTCAAATTTCCAATTTAGGAATTGGGAATATGGAAGAGAGTGAAACGTATGACGTCGTTGGAAAGTCGTAGCGGACGTAAGAATGCGAATCAATGGGTCTGTAGTGTACTGAAGTCGATAAATGAAGGTGTTCAGTGTAGACGAGAATGTCTAAAAAGTGTAAGCTCTTGGAGGAAACGAAGTGTAAAAAAATATTTCAGTTTCACAAGGGTGTGCTGGTTGCACCAACAATGTCATCAATATAACGTTTGTAAAGAGTATGAAGTGTTCCTTGATAAATTGAGAAAATCTGATTCTCCATGTAGCTAAGAAACAATGAAGTACATGAAGGACCCATTTTAGTACCCATAGCAACACATTTTCTTATTTGGTAAAATCTGCTGTTAAAGGAGAATCTGTTCAGGGTTGAGTGAAGAAAAGCAAGAGTTTCTGACCACCCCGGGTTGTTTTTCAGACCCCAAAACTTTTTTTGAGGCTTGAAATATTTTTTAATTTAAATCCCTGTCATTAATTTTTTGTTTTGTTAGTACAAATTCAGCAAGACGTAAGAGGGTACGTGTGGGGATTTTAGTGAAGAAAGCAGACCCGGGTAATGTTTGGGGGCTTTCATGAAGATTTATATTGTTTTGAATATTCTATTCTGTTTTTAGCAGAGAAGATATTAAAAAATATTCTTGAACCTAAACATTCTATAGGAAATATTGGAATTGACATGAATCGTGTAAAAATACTGAGATGAAAAATAGATAAAACACCATAAAAATATTTTAGCATAATGGTGGTTAATTCATCCAAGTCATCAAGTTGCTAATATTTACCCTTTTTGTAATAGTAAACAAATGGAGTTTTAAGGTGTATTTATTGACTAACTGATTACGAGTAAAATATACAATTATATCTCTAGTTAGATCTTACTTGGAATACTTTATACTGTTGTGATCTCCTTATCTATGAAAAGCAATCCTACTGAAGTCTATAGTGTTATAAGGGAATCGTTGGGATAAAAGTATTGACATCTTTTTTGTTGTTGTTATACTCTGAACAGACTAGGCTCCAGTTAGAGTAATTTTATATTTAGAACAAGGTGATTAGCTTATGGAATATGTTGCTGTTGGCAGTATTAGTGACTGTCATTTTGGAAGAGTTTAAGAGAAGAATTGATAATTTCCTTAAATATTATGAATGGATTTATATTTTTAGTTTTCTCAAGAATGTGTGTGCAATGACAGTCCTGAAGGACCAAGCGATCTTTGTTTCTCTTATGTTATATTATAGGAATGTCCATAATTATCTAAAACAAATTTATCATTTCACCTGTGACAGCAAAACCTTATTTTTAAGAACCATACTTAATGTAATCTGAAGTAAGTGCAGAACTGTTGTATTGTGTATTTTTGCGATATTACCACCCACCTTACAACATAGATGTAAGCTAATTGGCTAGCTATGATGCCTTTATATTTCATTATAGAGAAGATAAATGTTAAGTTATTGTACATACCTGAGATAGAGAAGTGAAGTCTGGAAAAGTCATGCAACTTTTAATACTTGTATAGTTACAGTTAAATTTGCGATCACAATCACCTGGAAAAGTAAATTTGTTTTTCTTATTATATATCAACTAAGTTAGTCAAAGTTTATATATATTTAAATATAATGCTTACAAAAACTCCAATAACTTTTTTTTTCAAAAACTTACAAAAGTAAGAGTTCACATCTAATGCAAATTATTTACAATACTTTCCCTTTAATTTATCAAAGAGAGCAATAAAAACTGCTAAACCATGTGTATGTTTTTAATTACATTTCTAAATAACAGAGATTGACATAACCTAGTGGCTAGGTCACTCTAAACAAAACCTACGAGTTTCAATCCCATTCACGGAACATGCTCGCACATTCAGCGTTCTGTGTGTTATAACGTGACAGACAATTCCATTTTTCGCTGGCAAAACAGTAGACCAAGAATTGGTGGTGGGTGGTGTTGATTTAATTACCTTCTCTTTAATATATATCACTTTTTAATTAAACACAGCTAGTACAGATAGCCCTCGAATACCTCTTATCAAATTCTACAAACAAACAAATCGTATAAAAAAGGTTGTTCATGCAAATATAATAGTTTGTATTTTGTTATATTTTGTATAAGTAAATTTTCACGATGGTCTATCTGTGCTATACCCAACATATGGATGAAAACCTGAACCAACACCACTATATAAGGCAATTTGGTACAGCTACCAAGGTTCCAGTTGCCATAGCTTAGCTGATGACTGGTGATAAAAATGTCTACATCCTGTTGTAATAAAATACTATCAAATAGATACACTGCTCAGGCAGTTTTGGAATGTTTCGATTTCTATTGAATACTAGAGCTGCATCAGACACTACAGGAAAAGCTACTACTTTGAACAATTAGCATAAAATTTGTTCTGGGAAATGTAGGCAAGCTTGAAATGAGTGAAGAGATGTATCTTCAACATTTCGTTATCAAAGTTGCCTGAAAAGCTGAGATAATCGTCTGCAATCTTAGTTCTTGGATTAGTATTTTAGGGATAGACATTCTACTCAAATTTTCTACAGGTTTTGCTTATTCAATAGATGAACCCAAATCCGTCAGGAAAGCCATTTAGTATCAATTATCTTTGGTCAGAGAACAGTGGGCCGCACCTGTTTATGTTAAAAATGTAGAAGTCAAACCACCAAACGGTCCAATGGATGTTCCATGGATACAGTATAGTATTTTGTTACTATTTTCTGCATTAAAATAACTTATGCACATAACACTCTTTTTTCTGTCTGGGAAGCAAGTTTGATCAATGATCTCCAAGCACTTCTGTTGTACTAGTAATAGTCTATAACTATAGACATTTCTCTATTAAACTCCAAGAGGAAATGGTCATTGTTACGGTAAGAGAGGCAGAAGTGTCTTAATAAATTCATTGAATCCATGTCTCTATGTCGAATTCAGATTATTATCACAATCTTTAACTCGGCCTTTTGGTGTATTCATTTTTAGACAAACTAAAGTGACTATGACACTAGATATTTTGTTTGCATGGTTTCTGACATGCTTGTGGAACCAAAGGAAAATTTCATCAGACAACAGTCTCTTGTCATGACAAGTGGCAAGTGTTCAATAAAACAAACTGTTGTTACAAGGCAGTTCCCAGCATTGAAATCAAATGATGATGAAGGATAGGTAAATCAGAGCTATTTTCCTGTAGTGATTGTAAGAAAAACATGGTAACTTATGTTGATACCTAAAAATAAATCTGGATGTGTTGAAATGTGCCTGTAGACTAATTCCTGACGTCTTATTAACATCAAAGTTGAAATTAATGATAAAAGTAGATCTGTGATTACTTTCACCATTTGGGATGGCTGTATGGATTTCAAATCATGACATTTGAATTTTTAGTGTGCCTGATAATTTCGAAAGGCTGATTGAGTTTGCACTTAGAGGAATAAATAGAAGAGGCATTTCATCTATCTCACTGACTTATTAGTCTTTAGTCACACATTTCAGCCCACTGTACATTAGAGTGATGTTCTAGTATGTTAAGGACAAACTTGAAATTGAAACCAGGAATGTCTGCGTTCATGTGCACGAAAGAAGGGTTTCTTGGTCATATTGTTACAAGAACGTAGTGACTACTGATCCTTGATGAAATTAGTTGTGAAGAAATGACTATCTCCAGATACTTAATCAGAAGTATACATCTCTAAATTTTGTGAGATATTAGTGATGGATTGTGGCAGTTGCATTGCAGTATACATAGACTGAGGCCAACATGCGCTTTGTGTGGATGCAGAAATGTGAAGACATGTGCCGATGCTTGAAGTGTGACTTGGTAAAAACAATAATACTGTTTTATCCTTGTCAAGACTGTTAATTCGTCCTGGATACAGACACCAGTGACGGTGGAACTGAAACAGTTTCAACAGAAGTATAGGATAGTATGAAGTATATGCATGAAAGCTACATATTAAAAGTTCTTGGATACCAAGACTGTACAACAGGCTGCGATATTTGTGTTGCCTGAATAATGCATATCAATATTTTGAACACATGGGGAGAGCTGTTTGTTGAGTTGTGCTAATAATTAGGTGTCATGAACTATTGTAAATGTGTGAAAGGATGTTTTATGGTTGCATTCATATCAAAGAATTGAACAATAATGCTGAAATCATATTTTTCAAACATTACTGACACTACTCTTATAGCAGTGAGTTCATGACCAGAAAGGACTATTCTTTAGTGAAATGACTGATGAACATTAAACATCCAAAAGGTGTTTATGCATATTAGATACTAATGCTGCAAGTGTACAACTTCATTGCACAACACAACTTTTGCCAGTAACATAGGTATGCTAGCCAGTGAAATTATGTCCATTTCTTAGATGTTCAGATCCTGAAGCAATTGAATGTAGTACTGATACACAGAGCATTTGCAATTTTTCTTGTCAGACAAAAGTGCAGAATAGCATTAAGTACTATCTTATGAACCATTAAAATGTGGTGGCCAATCTGTAATGCATATAGTGGTCTCCAGAGTTCTCGGGGAAGAGATGCTTCAGACATTGCACAATGCACAGGCTAAAGGGAACCAATGAGTGTAGTTTAATGTTGTGAATTGTGAAAGCAGACTGTTTGACTATATTCATATAACAGTATAGAGTAATGATACAGAAATTCTACTATGCATGCTACCAGAGTCAAGATTGGAATAATTTAAGAAAATTCCAGTGGAAAGTTGTAAGTTCTCTCCTTCAAATAATCACCCTAGAAGTAAATGACCCTATGCTTAAAACTGAGAAAAATTGGTGTATAATGTACATTAGTGATTATGTCACTAATTGAACTGACATCTACTCATTAATCAACACGTTAGCAAAGTTTCCCATAGATGCTAGTTATTTGTGGAAATGTGTCAAGAATTAGTTATATTCAAAATACTTCCCCATATCATCCTCATTGCGATGGCTTGGCTGTATGCATGATGCAAACTGTCAAGCATCATTTGCTAAGTTTAGGAATTCTGAGAAACTGATTGGCATAAGCAGCTACTCTGTGTTGTGAAGAAATATTGTACAAAGTATCATTTGATGGTTTGTCTCCTAATCTTCTATTTTTTTAACAAAAATAAAGCTTCCACTGGGTATAATTTATGACCCTGCACTAAATGTAGACTTTATACATCAGTGAATGGGTAAAGCAGCCTTGATTCAAAAGCGGTTCTATGACAAAACTAAGTAATTGAAAGAAAATTTGAGCCTAATAACAAAGTTGTAGCTTTGGTATGTGCCTGTTTGAACGGTTTACAATTATTTGGTTTTAGCTGTTACAGTTGAAGTTTCAACTATGTGAGCTATGAGTTACATCATCCTGCTTAAGCCCTATACTACTGGTTATATCAATAATTAGACATGGAAGAGCAAGTTGATCCTCACAATGAGATCACTATGCTGTATAATCTCTATTCATCTGATAAGGAAAAAGAAACTGGTAGTGTATATCAGACTGTTTACGAGGAGTCTGGTGAGGAATCAGTAGTAGAAGAACAATTTCAATTTTTAGGCAATGCCTAAAGACTTTGCACATGAAAAGTAGAATTAATGCTGACATTTGTTACTATAGCTATCATACTAATTTCTTAATGATGAAATAATGTAGTGCGAGTATGTACTGTGAGTATGTTATGTAGATATAGACATATATTTATCTATTAATACACATATTTCCTGCCTTATTTATGAGCAATTCTGTGTGTTTAAATTATATACACATAAGTAATATATACAAGGCTTAATATTTTAAAGAAATAAAGATATTAGCTAGGAATAGTGAGTTGGTAAAGACTGCAGTGACTGACATGGACTACATCGAGAGAGGTGCATCATGTTCTGAATTTTCTTAATGCTTGTAAAGAATAGTTTAAAGATTAGTCATAAACTGGACTATTCGTAAGTTTCTGAATTTTCACTGAGAGAAAGACATGGAGTTCCTTGATACTGTAAATATATCAAGTGAAAAACAAGGTGTACTTTTCATTTTTATTAGTTCTGGTTGTCAAGTTTTTGTATGGGCTGGATTCTTTACAGTAGGTATCTGTGACTTGTTGGTGATAATTTCAACAATAAACAAACAGCGCACAATCCACTTGTTTTAAAATAATATATTGAAATAGGCCAATTTATCAAAACAAGTTATATAAACAAACTTGCGATAAACTGTCACTTCTAAAAATAACTAAATTTAATGTCTGCACTATATAAACTATCTGAATAATAAAACGCACATTAAACTTAAATTCAAACAGTTGTGTATATCTAACAATAAGCCACTATCCAAGAAAAATATTTACATGCACAAATTCTACTAATACGGTTTTCATCAACATTTCCAGCCCCTTTATCACATCTCATGATCCTCGCACTGTTGATTTTGCACCTCTGTATGTATGCAAGGGACTGATGGTCCGTCTGGATGGTGAACTCCATCCTGTAGAAGTAGTTCTGGAATTTCTGGATAGCAAATGTGATAGTTAGACACTCTCATTACACCCTAGAATAGTTTTT